AGAAAAAGAAAACTAGGGACCCAATTTAGGAAGGAATTTGTGTGGGGATGTTGGTTGAAGTTGTGGGAGTAGATGAGACTGCCCTAGAAAAACAGTGGTCCGAGATTAAAGATGAGGCCCCAGGACAGGACCTTAGTGACTGGCTAGATTCAAGAGGAAGGGAAAGGAAGAGATGCCAGCAAAAGAGAGGAAATAATCAGAAACATGCAGGGAGAGAAAGCAAAGTGGAGAAACTCCCAAGCTAAGGAAAGGAGTATTCATTCCCAAGACTGAGCATCACATGCTAAAAAGGATTGCTGAGAATGTAAACTGAGGAAAAGCCACTTGCCTTTTCCAAATGTGGGAGTGAGAAGTAACATTTGAGAATGCAGCGTGAGGGGTAAGGTCAAGGCCAAGGTAAAGGTGAAGGTGAAGGTGAAGTAATAACATTGACGAGAAAGAGAAGGGAGCTGCTCAAGCAGTACCAGCTTGTGACAATATTTAGCACTGTGACCATCAGTTTCTTTCACAGGGCAGCGATGCTCACAGGATGAGGGCACAGATCTGTGCCAAGAGAAAGAAACACGTACATGCAAGAGGGAAGGCTTGAAATCACAGGTAAAGAAGTCAGTTTAAGCAAAAAGGGGCTCTGTAGTCTCAGTGACGGTTTCATCAATAATTTGCTATTAGAACTAAAAAACATATCCCCATGTCAATACACAAAAATGTCTGCATAGTTTAAACATTTGTGTTAAGAGCTGAATCACTTGGTTTTGCAACCAAACACCTATTTTCAAGTTCCTGTTTCTATCACTTGCCAGTGGGAAAACCTGGACAAAAGACTTAATCCCGGACAGCTGCCACAGTTTCTTCATCTATGAAATAGAAATAATAGTATTTGCCCTAACTGTTCCACAGGATTATTGCAAGGATAAAAGGGTCATGTATATTAAAGGTATAGAGAGCCCAGTAAATGTTAAATTCTGTTTCTTTCACCCAGCAATCGTTAAATGTTGACTGATTCAAAGAAAACCAGCTGACTGTTCCAGCTGTCACTATATAGAATTATAGCTGAGGTGTGAGTAGTTAATAGGAAGTAAAAAGAGCTGGATATTGGGCTTAGAGAGCATTCCAGTTTGTCATAAATACAGGAAACTTCTGCAACAACAGAATATAATTTGAAATCTGGATCATAGAATAAAAGGTCTGGAACCAGTATATATATATATATATATATATATATATATATATATATCAGAGAATCCCGAACAAGCAAGTCATATTTTGGGCACATGATCAAACTCCCATAGCAGTGTCCTAAGCTTCCTCATGATCTCAAATTCATACACACAGATATGAGCGCAGAGCAGAGAAAGAATGGTTTCGACAGGTCTCAGCTGAGCTATGGTGCAAGCAGGACTCTGCCCCAGCAAGGCCCTTGGTTTGAACTTCCTTAAAGGGGAGCTGTAGCTACAAAAGTCTGTTTCCAGAATGTACTCCCTGTAAGCATTTTCCAGAGTGTTTAATAAATTATGTAGATGAGAAAATACTATTGGAAAATTAATGAAGTGCTCAAAATAATCAGATACTAAATGATTATGGCATGGCACACAAATCACCAAAAATTAATGTGCTGTGCTTCATTTAAAATCCCCAATTAGGAGATATACCCAATTTCATCCTGTGATAATTTAAATAACTTTAGTCTTAGGAGAGTAAAAGACATCAAAACCTAACCATGGGCATAAAACTTTTTTGCAGACAATTGAGCCTAATGAGAAATAGTTTAAGTGTCATTTAAGTATTTATCTATTCACTGACTTATTCATTCATTAATTCATTCAACAATCGTTTGCAAACACTAAGTTGAGGTAGTAAATACAAACGACAATTTCTGGAAGTTTGGTGAGGGAAATAAGGGAGATTGAGCTGTAGCTCGAAGGGGAAGATTCCTACAGGCCTGAGGGACAGGGTGGTAGCATAGGGACATTATTGTGGGCATGAGGGAGTTAATGTAATGCTCCTTGTCTCTCCAGACACTTTCTTTTTGTTAGAGAAGCAAGATCTCTATACTGTGTGTGTGTGTGTGTGTGTGTGTGTGTGTGTGTGTGTGACACATCTAGACCATCACATAGACCGGTGTTCAACTGGTGACTGCCCCTGAACCTGTGTGACCCAAGACTCAGGGTTGATGGGTCAGTCATTTCTACCTAGAGGATAACCATGAGGACTAACAGGACCAGTGTAGACCAGGTGTCTGTTAAGTGCCTGGCTAACAGTGGTCATCCATAAGTTGTCACGTGTCCACATGTATGCTGAATATAGAGGGTGGTACAACTTTTTTCCCTCATATTACTTCCAAAACAAAACAACACAGTATTAAATATTTAAAGTTTCTGGCTAAAATAGTATTTCAAGACTATAGGACAAAAAAAAAAAATAGAAAAATATCTAACACTCAAATGTAGTTATAGAATTAAAAAGGCTGATTTCCAAGCACTAAAAAAAATGAAGCAAGATTGCCATTGCAAGATTGAATTTAATATGGAAAACTGCAAACATATTTGAGGCCTTTCACAGAGCAGCCAGTACAAAACAACCAAGAAAACCATGGAAATAATTTGCCTGCCTGGAAACAGTTAGGAGTTGGTTGACACAGCCATACTTACAAGAGCCCCCTTAATATTGTTATTCTCCCAAGGAATAAGGGGTAGAGGGAGTTCCACAAAATTACATACAAAAGGGAATTATGGGAGAAGATGATCCCAGAAGAATGAAATCATCCGGATGTGAAGAGCAAATACACGTTTAGCTTGTTCTGAGCTTCTTAGAAACTGTGCTAAGTCTAGTCATTGCTAGGATTTGGGAAGATTTCAACCCCAGCTTTCTGTTTTAGATTTGTGTTTTCTTTTTTACTCTCAAATGAATCACACACTAGCACTAACCCAGAAGTCATATGTGCTGTATTAGAAGTTCTGCTGGGAATACCTAACTGGAAATTTCAAGATTGGGGACCATGTGAATGTATGAGACTGGCTGCTTAACCATAACTTAATTTAAAATTTCTTTGTTATTTTAGGAAGAAATTTCACTAAAAGCTTTTCTATGCAACCAGTTTCCAATCCACTTCAGCAACCCTGACATGTAATGAAACACTGTGAGTGTTTAGGGTAATAGCTCTGGACTGAGACCTGGAGAAAATGGTGGACTTTGCTAGCAAGGGCAGGACAACGTGGGTGTCATGTGTGTGTGTGTGTGGGGGGACTCTGAGGCCCCATTTCCGACTTCCATCAGAGAACCTCTGCTTTTATCTGGTTTGCAAATCGGTTTTCCAAAAGGGATTTTGTTTAAGCAAAGGATACTGTAGTTTACAAAAGTTTGAAAACTTCTAAATAGTAGGATATGCAGACTCTTGCCAGTTGGGACATTTTATGAGCCTCTTCTAGGGTGACAGCTTATGCAGTTTATTGCCCAATCCCAGATGGTCACAACGCTGTTCTCCCGAGTTAACCTAGCGACCCTGGCTTCCCAGGCCTCAGTGGAGCCAGGGGGTAACCTCCTCACACTGACCGGATTCCCCAGCAGTTGGAGTGTGTCTGCCAACCCTTGACTTTTAAAACAAACTCTAATATAAAGAGCCCCTTTTGCTGTTTTTGCTGCCTGTGCTGGAGTCACTTCCATTGCAAATGTTCTTCGGTCTCCGTACAACGTCCGTGAGAAGGGGACTTCATTTTCGTGAGAATTCTCCCAGTTCCTCTTACCATCTTGAACTCATGTATTATTCTATTTAGATGAGGAAGTTGTGGTTAAATGATTAGAGAGGAAATGAGTTCTTTCAAATCAATCCAAGATATATTGAAGAATAACTGATGAATAAGACATTGTCTTGGCATGGCAAGGAAAACAGTAACCCGTGAGGTGAGAAAAGTTCCGAGAAAGCAGACCTGACACTGTGGGAATGGTGAGGGACACCATGGGTGCTGAAGGGGAATAACACAGGCCAATGTTTCTCAACTTCATATCTCAGGTAAACACTTCCAAGGAAGGAGGGTGGGGCACAAGGAGACGGAAGACACAGAGATAGATCCGTTTCTCTCCCCAAGAGTGGCAGGGAAGGCCCTGGTGGTACCTGAGACAATTTTATGTGGAACATAAATACATGAATGTACATCTTTCAGTGCATGGCCGTGTATTTACCTTAATGTGCAGGAGATGCTAAATAATATTTTTTGAATGAATGAATGCATAACTACATGAACGAGTGCATAGATGAAAGAGTTAATAAATGCTGCCGAGCCCCAAGTAGCAAATATGTGCTCACATTGAGGGGAAGAAGGACGTATAAAACTAAGACCCCAGAGTCACACTGGGTCTGTTGCTCACCTGGTACACTCTGAGAGGTTTCAGAGAAGGATCCTGTTTGTTCCATGGTGCTGAAGGGGAAGGTCTACACAGAGCAGGGAGTCATGTCACACCCTACCCGTGGATGAGTGGTCTCCTGAGGCAAGGCTCTCAAATCCTGAATAAAGATCAAGGGAAACCATGGTGCTATTGCCATAGTATACCAGTTGGCTTAACAAAGGCCAGAATTCCAGAGAGACACCACAGAGTGGTTGAGGAGCTGAGCTTCAGTCACTGCAGGTGCTGAACAGCCATGGGACACCTCCCCCATGGCTGTTCTCTAGTAACTCTACTCTCTGCCCTGGGAGCAAAGTATGTGCAGAAACCTGGAGCACTTTACAACCAGCAGAATCAGGCAGCAAAATCCAATTTTCAAAAAAGCCATGGAGTACTCTGCAACCTGTGTGTGTAACAAGGGCCCTTCTCAAACAGGATCGAAATGAATTGGGGAAAACAACTGTTTACATGGTGGAGCGTGTCTCCTTCACACACACATCCTGTTTGACATTAATCATGAGATTGCAACACCAATCAAACCCAAATAATCTGCTCGGAGTCACCGTTTCTGATGATTGCTCAGGCAATGCATTGCTAATCAGGAGGATATTATAAAACATGACTCAGACAGCCTGCAGCTTTCTGGAAGGGCAAGTACTCCCTATATAAAGAGGAAGCTTCCCAGCTGAGATATTGGACCAGCAGAGAGGTGGGTGCTATCAGTTGTCTTGCCCTGAGAAAGAAGACAAAGACCAGCATGCCCAGATTTTCTCTGCTGTTGCTCCTACTCTGGAGCCTGGGGTCTCATGGCCTCCCAGTGGCTCCAGAAACCCAAGAGCAAGATGTGGAGATAGTCCAGGTAAATGCCGCATTACATGTGCCTGTGATGCATGTCTTTCATTTTGTATTTGTCCACGATAGAATAATGGAGTTTATTTAAGGATGGATTTCTTGCAAAGAGAATTTATTTTGTCAGGAACAGCACCCTCCCAACAAATGTATCTAGCCATGCATAGATTCTTCTCTTCCATTTGGAGGTGAGAGGGAATTGAAGGAACAGTATGCAAGTCTCGCTCTACAAATTGTAGATTTGCAACACTATGCAAATATCGCTCTGCCAATCCTGCTCTGCTATGAAGTTCTGACTTCGTAGTAACTAATGGTAGGGACATTTCTACTCTGAAATTGCATCGTTTCCACTAATGATAAGCACTATAAGAATCATGAAATCTAAACATAAGCTTTAAAAGTAGTTTCTCTGTTTTCGCGGAAAACCTCATTGTTATTAATTTTTTAAAAAATGAGAAAGATTTCCTATCCAGTGTTTCAGTAATTTTATCTTTTAACAGAAATACCTGGAAAACTACTATGACCTGAAGAATGATGGGAAGCAAATTGAAAAGAAGAGAAACAGTGGTCCCGTGGTTGAAAAATTGAAGCAAATGCAGGAATTCTTTGGGCTGAAGGTGACTGGGAAGCCAGACACTGAGACCCTGAAGGTGATGAAGCAGCCCAGGTGTGGGGTGCCGGATGTGGCACGGTTTGTCCTCACTCAGGGGAACCCTCGTTGGGAGAAAACACATCTGACCTACAGGTAAGCAGACTGAGCACCAGAGTGAGAAGGCTATTTCCCATTGCAGCGGTAAGAAATAAAGTCTGGGCTGGGCCTGGTGGCTCACGCCTGTAATCCTAGCACTCTGGGAGGCCAAGATGGGCAGATTGCTCGAGGTCAGGAGTTCGAAACCAGCTTGAGCAAGAGCGAGACCCAATCTCTACTAAAAAAAAAGTAGAAAGAAATTAGCTGGACAACTAAAAAAATATATAGAAAAAATTAGCCGGGCATTGTGGTGCACACCTGTAGTACCAGCTACTCAGGGGGCTGAGGCAGTAGGATTGCTTGAGCCCAAGAGTCTGAGGTTGCTGTGAACTAGGCTGATGCCATGGCACTCACTCTAGCCTGGCAACAAAGCGAGATCCTATCTCAAAAAAAAAAAAAAAAAAAAAAAAAAAGGGAAAGAAAGTCTGATGAGTCTCTATTTCCTTTCATTCTAAGGATTGAAAATTACACACCAGATCTGTCAAGGGCAGATGTGGACCATGCCATTGAGAAAGCCTTTCAACTCTGGAGTAATGCCTCACCCCTGACATTCACCAGAGTCTTTGAGGGCCAAGCAGACATCATGATATCCTTCGTCAGGGGAGGTAAGCTCTCCCTGTAGCATGAAATTATTCTCACCTTAACTTTACCTTGCCCCTAAAGCTCTTCAGCTTTGTAGCTGGAATTCCTCGTTTAAGAGGCGTGTTGATTTTATGGGCCTGAGGAAATAGGAAACTACGTCACATTCGATGGAAGTCTATTGGCCTTCTCACAAAGCCAATGCTTGCCCTCCTGGGTTAGGTTGAATAAGAACCAAGAGGGACATTGGTTGAATTGTTTCTTGCAGATCATCGGGATAATTCTCCCTTTGATGGACCTGGAGGAAACCTCGCTCATGCTTTTCAGCCAGGCCCAGGTATTGGAGGGGATGCTCATTTTGATGAAGACGAACAGTGGACCAACAATTTCAGAAGTAAGTCAACCAGTTTTGCATCTCTCAATTCTCCCACCTCTTTGTGGCTCATTGTAATATTGGTTGATGTAGCTGAAAGAATGTATTCATATAAGTATGCATTTTTCTGTTGCCACTCAGAAAATAACGATACATTTAGAAAAGTATAAAAGAGGTTCTTTCTGCTAGTGCAACATCTTAGTGGTGACGGCCAGACCACTTTAAATTTTCTGTTATGAAAATGTCGAAAACCTTAATGTTTTACTTGTGGGCATATACACTGAATCTTTTTTATTAGAAGGACACAGCAAAATTTAACAGTAGCAGCAAGCTTATGTGGAAATTGGGGGGGGGGGCAGCTTTCTGTGCTTTCAAAATTTTCCAGCTGTAAGCATTTATCAGTTTTATACATAAGAAAAAATATTAAGTGTTAATAGAAATTTATTCCTTCTCTGTGAAATATGTGCCATCTAATCATTAACAAGATTTACTAATCTGTGCTAGAGTCAGCTGAGTTTGTCTTTTAATTGTATCAGTGCAATGATAGAGTTTAGGCTTTAACATGGTTCTTCATTATTAATAAATGCATGTGTCCCGCCTTTGCAAAAAGTTATATTAATATGTATATTTCGAAAAGCCACTGACAAATTGTAAGCATTAGTCCTTGTAGAGTTGTGTATTACTCCTTAACTAAATGCCTCAAGTGTGAATATTTTTCAAATAATTACAAGTGAATTTATTGCTCCTTTTAGATTACAACTTGTATCGTGTTGCGGCTCATGAATTGGGGCATTCCCTTGGACTCTCTCATTCTACTGATATTGGGGCTTTGATGTACCCCACCTATGCATTCAGTGGTGATGTTCAGCTAGCTCAGGATGACATTGATGGCATCCAAGCCATATATGGTGAGTATAAAGAAAAAGCTATGGCCTACAGGTCTTTAAGTCTATCCCAAAGAAATCGACCATTAGCTGGGTGCGGTGGCTCACGCCTGTAATCCTAGCACTCTGGGAGGCCGAGGCAGGCAGATTGGTCGAGGTCAGGAGTTTGAAACCAGCCTGAGAAAGAGCGAGACCCCGTCTCTACTAAAAATAGAAAGAAATTAATTGGCCACCTAATATAGATAGAAAAAATTAGCTGGGCATGGTGGTGCATGCTGTAGTCCTACCTACTGGGGAGGCTGAGGCAGTAGGATTGCTTGAGCCCAGGAGTTTGAGGTTGCTGTGAGCTAGGCTGATGCCATGGCACTCACTCTAACCTGGGCAACAAATCAAGACTCTGTCTCAAAAAAAAAAAAGAAAAAAGAAATCGACCATTAGCTATATCCCTTAAGAAGCTGCTTTTCATTGTTTGTTCAGTTTTCCAATACTAGGCAAAACTAACTCCAGGTCTTTTATTTTGTTTAGGACCGTCCCAGAATCCCAACCAGCCAATAGGCCCACAAACTCCACAAGTGTGTGATAGTAAGCTAACCTTTGATGCTATAACTACGATTCGGGGAGAAGTGATGTTCTTTAAAGACAGGTAAGACATCGCAGTTCTTCTATGTGTTCTGCATTTGTAACAATAATAATAATGTTCACTACTATGGGCCACTATTATTCTTCACGTGTTATTTATCTTACATTTGTTCACGTCTGTAAGTATGTGGTAGCAATCGCTTGTGTTTGTACAATGTATCGTACTTGTAACAATTTTGATTTCCCACAGGTGTTAGATCATTTGATTCTCTGAAAAATATCATTAAAGTAGAAAAATCAATAAATATAATCCCACTTACAGATCAGTAAAGTAAGGCAGAGAGAAGGATAGAGACATTTTGGTCTCAGAGCTTATTGGTGACAGAGCAGTTACTGTCTTCTGTCCCCTGCCTTAGGATTCTTTTCATTATGTCCCTCTTTATGATAGTAAGAATGTTAGGACTTTATCAAGAGAACTCAGTTCTTTTCACAAAACCATCATGCCAACAAGGGTTGCATAGCCACCTTTTAATTGTCAATTCTGCATTTGGAAAAAAGATGGCTCTCCCAAATCTTGTCATCATGAAAGGTCTCTGTTACCTGTTGGAGGCCCAACAATGAGAATTAAAGGAGCCAATGCTGGGAGAGTCCCTAGGAGTTCATGAACCCACCCCCCCTTCTCAGGAAGATATTTGCAGCCACAATGGGGTGTCCTCAGAGGAGGATCCTAGAGCTCCTTCTATGCATATGGACTCAAAAAGTTTGAGGTACACTCACATCCAAGGAACAGGCCTGCTCTTTGTGTGACAGTGGTCCTAAAGAACCAGGCAAAATAATAATATGCTCTTTTGTGAATGACGCAGTCTACAGAAAGACCAGCACATAGAAAGTAGGGGTGTTCTAAAAGGCTCGTTCTCTCCAGCCTTTCTTCTTGTAGAGTTGTTGGCACTGTTTACTACTTTTGTGGTCATATCTATCCCCAAATTCAAGGCATTGGCTCCTAATGCTTTCCATTCTCTCTTTATTAGTTTTGCATGTAAAAGAGAAGGTCGCGTGTAAACCATACAGGGGGTAGCTCAATACTGGGACATGTTAAGGAAACGCAAGGTTTTAAAGGACAGCTCTCAAGGTAGCAGGACACACCTATCAGAGCAAGTATTTGAGGGATTATTCCAAGGAACAGGACCAATTTGAGGACTTGCAGGAACTGAAAGGACACTGAGGTCATTTAAATGTCACCAAGTCATGGAAGGCTAGAGATAGTAACTGACTTGCCCAAGGTCTCACAGCCAGGCAGGGGCAGGACTGGGACTAGAAGTCAGGTTTATGACCACCAAGGCCATAGTCTTCCCTGCTGCCTGGATCCCCAACACTCTTCTGTCAGCCCCATGACAGTCTATGCTGCACCTATGCTGTCCCTGTGAACGTGAGAATCAACTTTGTATAAGTACTATTGACCAAAGGACAACAAAGGGTGTGCCTGCCAGAGCTGAGTTTAAGATGAACCTTTGCCTTTTAACAGCTGAGTGGCCTTAGGCACCTCCCTTAGTCTCCCTGACCTCAACTTCTCCCCTCCCTGACATGGGAGTAATACTCTTTTGTAGGGTTTTTGTGATAAGGTCTGATGTAATGGCCTGGTGTGTCATGGGCCTGGTGTGTTGCGAATAGTCACTACACGTAGGATATTAGTGTTGTGTTCCGGGCAGTAATGTGCTATAGCTGGCCCCTAAAGGCTCTCTAAAACCAGCTGTTAAATTTTGAAGAATTCTGCAAGTTGGTTGTGAAGCACAGCCATTATTAAAAATTAAATTCTGTAAACAAAATTATATTAAAACCAAAAGTAATAAAAGTAATCGAAATTCATCACTCTGTAATTATTTCTAGTACACGTTACTATTTATTTATATTCTCGAGGTTATTTACGCCTATTTTATTTGTATACTATATAATGGTGTTCTTCTGTCACTCTTGGAACCTGCCAGAATAGGAATATTTTAACTGAGGAAAATAAGCAAATGCTACAAACCAGGACTTTCCCTGTCCTCCCACCCCCATCGGGGAGCTGGATGTTAAAGATTTACCAGCAAACCACTAGTGCCAGCAACAAGAAGGAGTTGGATGTCAGCCAGAGCTCAACCTTTTTTTCTTTTGTTCCAATCAGGTTCTACATGCGCACAAATCCCTTCTACCCGGAAGTTGAGCTCAATTTCGTTTCTGTTTTCTGGCCACAACTGCCAACTGGACTTGAAGCTGCTTATGAAGTTGCCGATAGAGATGAAGTCCGGTTTTTCAAAGGTAATGCTTCTGATTATTTTTCACTGTTTCTATGAATTAATTTTTCATCCACTTTTGGACTGAGATATAAGGGTACTAGCTACATTCTGTCCAGAGACTTTTGAAAATCCAACAGTCTCACCAACCAAATTAATGAAAATCCATCAGCCTCACTAAAAATTACATAGTATATTTCTGAGTTATTTTGAATAAAAAGCACATGACTGGAGATAGAAGTCTTCTGGCCTATTTATGAATCTAGACTCACGAAAGTATTTTTCTGTGCAAACTATTTATGTATTTAAACCCTCCACCATATTCCAGGAGGTACTTAGGAGTAAAATTTGAGACTTGGCCTAATACAACAGAGGATGGAACAGAAAAATTTTGTTTGTGTGGTTTCCTAGACTTTATCTTAATATAAACCACCCTCTTAAGAGTGGGGGAGTGGGAGAGGCCCCCACTGGGCAGCCTTGCTGTCAGGCTGTGGTCATCAGACTGGTGGCATTGGCATCACCGGGTGGTCTGTTACCAATATAGAATCTCAGGTCCCACTCCAGACCTTCTTTAACAGCATCTAAATTTTGTCAAGTTTCCCAGGCAATTCACACATGCACATAAAAGTATGAGAAGTCCTGAATTACTGTGAATTGAATGGAACAAGCTTTTTTGATTCTATCAGAACGAAACACAATCCAATGTCCAGCCCCTGGCTTTGAAGACACTATGCCAAAAACAGGGACTTTTGCCAATATGTGTCTGGCATAGTACAGACAGGATGCTTGACTCAGCCACACACACGCTCAAGACGCAGAATTGAATGCAGTTCACATGAGCAAAACACTTGGAAATAGGATTTCTAGTCTTTAAATCATTAAATTAAATAGGACTTTAGATATACAAAGTTTCAAATTCCTTTTTCATAACGGGTAAATAAGCATATTTGTGCAAGAAGAGCAATCCTGGCTTTAGGATATAAGAGCAGCCTTACGTGATGAGGGGCTTACTGAGTATAAACATTTGGATACAGCATTAATCCAAGTACTTGAAGTGTGTTCTAGTCAAATACAGTGATTTGCATCCAGGGTTGCAAGTCATTACAGGTTGTAAGTTATTATAACGCTCTGCCCTTTGGGATATCATTGGTTCAAACATCCACAGTCCATGGGCAACCTGGAGAGGTAAGGTTTATATCACTGAGGTGGCATGACAAATTCTTTGGTCATTTGAACATCTGGCTTTGGGACCCTCAGCTATAAACCAGTCATTCTTAAAGCTTTCTGCAGATTAGAATCACCTAGGAAGCTTCAAAAACTAGACTCCTCTAATTGGTCTAGGATAGGATCCTGGTGTCGGTATTTTCAAAAATCTCACTAGATGGTTCTAATCTGCACCCAGGGCACTGCTCTCGGATGTAAAACTAAGAACTTAGCTGGAAATCTGCTTATTCATCTACTGGAACCCTGGGCAAGTATTTTCATCCACTGTTTCTTGATTTGCAGGCAATAAGTACTGGGCTGTTCAGGGGCAGAATGTACTACCTGGATACCCCAAGGACATCTACAAATCCTTTGGCTTCCCCAAAACTGTGAAGCATATTGATGCCGCTGTTTCTGAGGAAGATACTGGAAAAACATACTTCTTTGTTGCTAACAAATACTGGAGGTAAAGACCAAGTGCAGACAATGTTAGGGCACCTGTTCTTTCTCCCTAGAAAGTTTTAGATTGAACCATTTCAAAATGGCTGGAGCCAGTCTATCATCCATTTAGTCTATTGACCACTTATCGGCACACAATGCCTGAGCTGGGAATCCAGGGAACATATGGGGCTGAATTTTTAAAAGATGCAAAAATGAGGGCATTCATTTTAACAGAGCTACTTCAGCCAAAAGGAACTTAGCTTTCATAGCATTTCACCTTAATAGAACATAGTGTGGAATCCACTAGAAAATTAGATGTTGGATTTCAGAGGGACCCTATAAAACTTTTAGCCTACCCAACATTCTACCTCAACTCATCTACTCTCCATTTTACAAGTGATCTACAGAATTAAAAGTTTTGGTTAAATTCCTGATGGCATGTTTTCTGTAATGATTTTGAAAAATCTACATATTTAGCAAAAAATTATGACACTTCTAATTCTTTTCTGACCAGGTATGATGAATATAAACAATCCATGGATGCAGGTTATCCCAAAATGATAGCACATGACTTCCCTGGAATTGGCCACAAAATTGATGCTGTTTTCAAGAAAGATGGTAAGTGACTACATATGTATTTCCTCCGTTTTGTTGCCCTGGTAATAGTAACCATTTTCTTAGCTGGATCAGCAAATGCCAAAAATATTTGTGCTAACAAGTGAATTGGTTTCTCAAGAATTCAAGTTAAACCTAGAAACTACTTGTATAATGTAGTAAGTCTCTTTTGTTTTATTTCTAGGATTCTTCTATTTCTTTCATGGAACAAGACAATACAAATTTGATCCTAAAACAAAGAGAATTTTGACTCTCCTGAAAGCTAATAGCTGGTTCAACTGCAGAAAAAATTGATCAACCATTACAAAGTTCAATGGAAAAATATATTTCATGAGCCCAAGAAAGGTGTTTTCCTGAAGAGCCATACATCTTTCAGTAATTTTTATACTCTAGAATCACTGTTACACAGAGCTCTTAAGTATAACCTTATTTATATCTCACTCTGTATATGTTTTTTACAATTTAGAATGTAGTATTTTATGTACTGATACAATTTAGTCCCGCAAATGATGGGTAAAAAGGTCAAGTTCATGGCTTATGTATTCATATGGGCAAGTGTTGGAAAGAAGATTTTTCCCAGAGTATGAACCTCTGATCTTGATCCTGTAAAACAGCAGCCTCAGTGAGGAACATCTTCTTTCAAGAGAGAAAGAGACAAAAGAAGTCAATCTTCACCAGAAGAAAAGCAGCTCCAGAACACTTGAGCAGTCACTAGTACCAGCCTGATAGGCAAGGGATAATTCCCCTTACCCAAAATAAAGTGTTTTATGATTGGAATAAAGCTATTCTTGTCTCTACTGTTTTCATAAATTTTCTTTTATACTTATTATATTGTTATTTTCTGATTATACAGCCACACTTACAGAGATTAATTTTTAGATATGAAATGGCAAGTAGACACTATGCAAAATGGCAAGTAGACAATATAATTCCCCACATAATTAGGATTATTAATATTTCTAATTATGTGGGGAATTAGGAAAAAGTTCAAACATTCTCCGTTCTCATGAAATTTATATCATACAGAGGGGGAAAAATCTATTTCCCTTGTTCCATAGAAGGATTTCGAAATTGGTTTTAGGTCAAATCAGTGGCAACACGGTCGAGCTTTCTAAGTATATGTGACTTCCTCTTCTGCTGCGCCCGTGGGTGGACCCGTTGTCCCACACTCCTACTCCTTGCAGTTGCCCCACTGCAACTCCTAGGATTTGCAGCAGGGCAACTGGCTACTTCTGGCTGGCTGGTCGCTTATGTGAAGAAGTGAAAAATAATCACTTCCAGACCAAAACGAGTGATTGCTAGAACAAATTGCTCCAGTGGTCCCCTGTTGTGGTGATTGTAGAAGCAAGTCAGGAGAGAGCGGCCACAGACAGAAGAACCCAACATTCCTGGATTGCCACTGCAAACAATTACCCCAAATCTCAGCACACTGTGCTTAAGTAGGAAGAAATACACTTTCATTATGTGAGCCACTAAGAATTTAGGGTTTGTGAACACTGCATAATCTAGTCTGTCTAGGTGAGCATTCTCTGGTTTACCACGACTAATTTGGGAGGAAGTTAACGTAGTAAGATTCCTGCAGGTAGCTTCCAAGCCACATGAGTTTTATTAGTAGTTCACAGGGTGCTCAAGGGTGTTTGAGGATTTTCCAAGAACGTAGAGCATCTTGAGGATATTTTAAGGTACTTATGACTCTCAGGCAGTTCTCAACTCAAGAATTTAGAGAGCAATGCAACTAACTTCTCCTTTGGCCAACTCTCTCTCTCTCTCTCTCTCTCTCTCTCTCTCTCTCTCTCTCTCTCTTTCTCTCTCTCTCTCTCTCTCTTTAAAATAAACTTTTCTATATTGAAGTATAACATAAATGTAGAAAAATGCACAAATCATAAATGTTCACGTTAATGAATTATCACAAACTCACACAACTCTCGTCCAGGTCAAGGAATAGAACATTGCCAACCCCACAGCAGTCCCCTCAAGGCCATTGCATCACTGCTCAACTGTCTCGGGTTGGGGTTGGTTCGCTGGGAGCAGAGCCTGAATTCTTTGGTAGGGCCATTGGGAGAGGAGTGCTCTCAGGAGAAGAGGAGTGAGAGAAACATTTCAGAGTAAGGGAAAAGCTAAAGAGTGTGGTCTCAGATGAAGATTGCTCTGATCTCATGAGCAAGCTATGGAGCAAAGACTGAACCAGTTAGTCCCACTTGAAATATGTCTTAGGAGCACCCTTCTGTACCCCTGTGTCAACCAGTCATCAGTCAAACTCTGGTTTGGGACAGGAGGCACAGCTTCCCAGACAAGATGCTCCTATTTACCAAGGGAAATGGGAGACAGCAGTGAGTTGTAAGCAGCCAACTCTTTCGGTAGCCAGGAGAATGGGTGCCCAGGTACTAATGGGGATCTTGAGAAGGAACTAACAGCATCCATTGTATGTTCATTATTTTCCCAAAGGTATCCACAATTAGAAGTCAGTCGACAATGTTGACTTCTAATACCATAGGTAAAATTTGCCTGCTTTTGAACTAAATTGGATCAAATATGTACTCTCTTATATCTGTCTTACTGTGTCCAACATTACGATTTTATCCTTCATTCACTGTTGACAGACTTTGGGTTGTTGCCATTTGGGGTCTTCTATAAATAATGCTGCTCATATGTAGGCATTTCTGTTTTGATTCTATGCCTAAGTGTGGAAATGCTGAATCACTGAGATTGTCAGACATCTCTTCAGATTATTCCTTGGACTCTTCTGTCTTGTATCCTAGCCACGGCAGTGGCGACTGGTTCTGTACAGGTTCTAAACCAGCTTCTAAGCCAATAGCTGTTCTTGTCAGGCCTGTGCATTGTGCTTCTTGCTTCTAGGTCTAAGGCTTTTGTGGTTTCTCTGTTGATGTTGCATCAGAGTCTGCTGCAGAACCCACTTAGAACTCATGCACATGGAACCTAGAAATGAGAAGAGTAATCGTTTGCAGAGCAAATATTATGCCAATGTGAGAAGAATGTATCTCTTTCTTTCTTTCTTTCTTTCTTTCTTTCTTTCTTTCTTTCTTTCTTTCTTTCTTTCTTTCTTTCTCTCTTTCTTTCTTCAGAAAGGTGTTCCTAAGACATATTTCAAGTGGGTTTTCAGATAGACCCATATAGACCAGCACATTTCCCATATTTCTGTCTAGTTGACAATTTATCATTGCATTATCTCTTTCACTTTCCCTGTCTTGCTCTTCTTCTTCTCCAATTCAGCTCCTCGTTGGATCACGCGAAAGCTATTTACGATTTTGTCTCAGGCTCTGCTTTCTAGGAATGCCAGACTAAGATAATTTAAGCTGGAAGTAGGATGGTGATACCCTTGGTATTTCGTGTCATCACGGATACTGAGACTGTTATTTGTGGTTGACTGTGAAGAGATAAAGATGAAGGGTGAGATGTAATGTTACCAGTGGCTATGACACTTCTGTAGTATAAGAGGAATGGTGATTATAAGTGTTGTATGGGGGAAGAGCATGCCTCTAATCCTGGCTTGGGTGACGCAAAGTCATAACATGTAACCAAAATGTTTGTATCCCCATAATATCCTGAAATTAAAAAAATAAAAAGAAGTATGAAGTGGACTGGTTAACTGCTCTGGGAATTTGATAAAGTAATATGCTCAGGAAAGGCAACTATCAGCTCAAGACACACTATGAATGCCAACAGACATTAATGGCAACATTTAAAGAAATCCTCATCTATGGTAGACTTTGCTGAAAATCAGTATTAAGTCTAATTGCAAAATTGGGCGTTTTCTAGCTGGAATAATGGGTAGACAAACCCAAAAATCTGGAACGCTTAAATTTCCCTGAAAGCTCCACACAGGCAGAAGTAGTACCTCCCTCTTGCCAGAGGACAGCAAACTACCCTTGCATAGAGAACTGACAGAGACCTTATCTCAGACAATACCTCACAAGACAATGCTTGTCCTCCTCTCAAACTACCTTTCCCGCCCCTCCTCATTTTCAGGTAAGTAACTGAGGTCAGGTCTCAGCATGGTTCAGATCACACCTATGTCAGGAAATAGCTTGCAAACCATGGGAATTATAGGACTTGGCCATTAAGTATCATCAGGAACCAAGGAAACATGGATGGCAGTGGATCTTAGAGGCGCTGGATTGAGGTTGGAGGATGTAAGAATGCACGGGGAAGAATTTATTGACATGGGTACACTCACTCATGACTTGGCACTCAACATTCTGGAATGGAAACCAGGAGCTTGTCTAATATTCTGCCGACGTAGATTCTCAAATCTTGGGTGTAGTGATGTCCTACAGGATATGAGGTGGAGATGCCAGAAGGTCTGTGGCATGGCATCAAGGAAGGAGTCAGAAGGCACAGGGAGATGTGAACCTTAGAATGGATTTATGACATGAGATTGGAGAACCCACTAGCAGACTCTTCCCTGGGAAGGCCCAGAAGATACTCCTTTCTCTGAGGCTGCAAAGAATGCAATAGAGAGGGGACTCACTGATGTCTCAGAGACATGTGGTGGTGGTTGCTCTCTGTGGAATGGAGTTGAGGGTATGAGATGTCGCTGTGGAATTGGCCTCTCTAGTACCATTTAGGGATGATGGGATTTCGGAATGACAAAAGGATAGGTAGCAGCACTTAACCATCAGAGGCAAGACAAATGAAATCAATTCTAAAGGACAGGGAGGCTGGAATGGCTACCAGAGGGCAATGATTTGTACGGTTCATAGGGTATGTGTTTCCATGGGAGAATGTATATATATATATATATGTGTGTGTGTGTGTGTGTGTGTGTGTATACATGCAGAGAGAGCAATCCTTCTCCAAGGTGACCTAGTCTGCTACACACATACAAATACACACATTTTAGTAACTGTGTGTCACTACTATTACACACTGAGGGTTATATGTGTATATGCATGTGTTAAATTATCCCCACAAAGGGAACTATGACCATCTACCAGGATAACTGCACTGGGGAGAGAGGAGTACTCAGATTTTTCATTTGGATGCTAGATCTGAACTGACACTGGTATCCAAGGTCCTAAAATGGCTTATGATCTTCCAGCTTAGAAAGCAGGCTTATGAAGTAAGTGATAAATAGGGTTCTGACTCAAGGTCATCGCAAAGTGGGTCCAGCGGGTCCGCAGACCATCTTGTGGTTGTTTCCTTGGCCAAATTCTACTACTGATTTCCTGACTTGTGGAGTAAGACCTTTATGGTAGGAAGAGCCCCTAAAACTGCTCCTCCTAAACTTTCTGAACACAATAGTAAACCAGAAGCAGCAAAAAAACCAACATCACATCCTAGAAGGACTGCACAGACTGAAGACACTACGAAAGACTTAAAAGCAGCAGAGAGTGTGATCTTAGCATAACTTCATCCAATTCATCCTTGAAACCCTTGCACAAACCAGATAGATCATAATGGGTAATGGTGGACTTACCCAGTGGGTAACTACCTAGCAGGTAACTTCCTTAGCAGGTAGCTTCCCTAGCCAGTAAGTTACCTGCTAAGGAAGCTAATGTAGCTACTGTGTCAGACATGCTTTCTTTACTAGAGCAAATCAATGCAGCCTCAGAAAACTTGACATGGAGTCATTCTGGAGGAGTGTTTGGAGATTCCCATATTGCCTATGAACCCAGAAATACACTGAAAAGTAAGGATTTTGTTTGTTTGGATTTTTTTTTTTTTAATCAAAGCTCTAGCTTTCTACATTGAAGCCTTTTGGAGAATTTAGCCCCATGTGTCTTGAAGAAGGAGCATTCTGGCTAATGAATTGCAGCGCAAAGCTGCAAGATCTGCTCTGCCACTCCACCTGGTT